TGCCAAAAAAAGACGATATTTTTTTTTTTGCTCTTAATCCAAAATATCTTAGAAGATGTCCCAACAAAGCTCCTGTTGAAAGTGGAGCTCAAAATTCCAATTCTAAGATGTCCTCCATCGAACTTAAAGTTTTTCCGTTTAAATAACATGGGAAACATGATTTTTTATTAGTTTTTTGTCCTGCAAACTGTGATGAAATTATTTTTCAAAGAAACGAATGGATGGACCTTGTTTATTATTAAATTTGCTACAAAAAATTCTACTGAGTCGAATTTCTATCTTCAATATTTGATTTGTTACATAGCTTTGAAATTCAAATTTCCGGTGTAACGTTCTAGCAAATTTCGAAATTTATTTTAGGATCTTAGAAATTATTTTTATTAAATAAAACCTCGATCATTCCGTTCAAAGAATTATTTAACGGAGTGACGAGAAGATAAAGAAATTCTGCGAACGCCATCGCGACTCGAATTCAAAACTCATGACGCTGCATGAGATTCGGGCCTCGATGGTGTTCACTAGGGTAACCTGAGATGCGGCGTTGCGACATTTAATTATTAAAATTTATTGTACTGGATGAAAATCCAAGGCAGTCTACCCTGGGCAACCAGGCGACAACCATCTTTGGCTCCGGACGTAAGTCCGGTGCCCGAATTACTGAAGCTTTTCAATATATTTAATTTCAACACAGACTGAGTGTTTTATTTTAGTGGTTAATTCCCTAATAATTATTTTAAAAATTTATAATAGAGTATCAAAGAGCAGGGTGCGCCTGGAATCGATAGATATTCTAAAGACACCCGCCTGGTAAACTAACCTTAAATAAACTAAACTTTAAATAAACTAACCAAAATTTTGGGAACGTAACACCGGTTTTTTTGCATTTTTTATCTAAACTGTAAGAGTTAGACAAAAATGTTAAATAACAAATTTGTAGTACTTTTAATATTCTATAAAAAAGTTCTTGTCAATTTTTTCACATCATCAATAACAACGAAGTTACAGGCTCATGTATATTTATTTTTTCAAATTTTCACTTCTACGAACTGAAATATCGATAATTATGCAAAAAATTTGGTAAAAATTTGTTAACACATCAAACTTACAACAAAATTTGGTGTGTAAGATGTTTCGTAGTATCAAACCATAAAATTTACAGACTAAGTCAGTCATATTTTTATGAATTTTCAACTATTTTATACAATATATTGATAAAGGACATAAAATGGCATTAAGATATCAAAAGCATGTACAATTCACAATATAATTGCAGTTATTTTTAGTTCAATAATTTTTAACATTAGCTTAAAATATGAAAATGTTTATATTTTTACTATCTCTTTATTATTTGAATTTAAATTGTTTTGAGAACTTGCTTTTAGCGCCCTCTGTACATTTATCGATTTTCGCGCCATTGAGCACTTACCGCTTGATTGAATCAATTAGTAGATTCTATTGTCTTTTGCTTTAATTAGTCCTTAATTGGTTCGGTTTTTAGGTTAGTTTTTAGCTAATTATTGCAACAACAGTAACCCGTGTATCTTTTTCATAGAATAAAACAATGTCTGAAAAACAAACCAACGGAACTACATAAATTAAGTTGGCTTTGAGTCAAAAAATTTAAATGGTTCAAAATTACCTCCAAAGCGCGATGTTTTATCTTTGTTTTTTTATATACATCGAACAAAAGAGTTTGGAATTCGCGAGAGTTCCAAATTCGTTCTTTGTGAAGTTGTTAAAGTATGGCATAAATTTTTGCTCCCTGTAAATAATTCACATTAATCCATGGTGAGAATCGAAAAATTATACAAAGACTGGCAAAAAACGCAAGTTCACAAAGCTAGAAAAAAATCTCCTGCACAAAAATTAGTTGAGATGAATTTCATTGACTCTCTAGATTGCTTATTCGATATTGCTCCGCAAAATGCTTTGCAAAACTTAAGTTCTCCCCAAAAAAAATATTTAAGTGATAGTCGAGAAATTCGTAAAGGCAGTCAGTTGTTAACAATTTCAAGAAATGTACAAGAGGTACAAAGTACATCAACTGTTGACCTAGAAAATTACTTGAATATTGTTCAGGTGGGAAGTTCAGAATCAAATTCAGACGCCATTGAAACTGATATAGCAGGTATTTTAGATATTTACTACTCACTTTTAATTTTTTCTAATGTTTTCTCTTCTCATGAAATTTTATACACTTTTCATATAATTTCTTTTTTTACGTGTATTGCTTTTGAAACTCTATTATTATAACAAAAATTTTTCTCACACTATATTTTCGGTGCTGATTTCAATCATTTAATAATTAATGATTATCTAATCAGCAATTTATTTTCACTCTACTCTAATATTTTCCAGAATTAAATAAATTTAAACAAACATACTTTTACAGTAATATAAAGTTAAAATTACTTTGTTTTTTGCAATTTACACATTAAGATTGACTTTAACTCCGTGGCAAATCATCGTGCAGGCTTTTCAATTACGTCAAATCGAAGGAAATTGAATATTCTAAAAGAGCTTTTAAGTAAAATAATCGAAAAAAAAATTTTTTGAAGCCCGTAAACTTTTTTTTAGACGAGAAAAAAATTAGAAATTTTTTTTTTTGTAGTTTCCTTAGGATTTCTCCAAAACCAAACATGATAAGAAATTTTCATGGTCATACCTGAAAACTAGATACTTAGAGCTACAATTGCTTTTTTTTTTGTTGTACGATCATTTTACTTGAAATAACAGTTCGTTGAAAATCACCCACAAATTTAGCATATTTTTATATCCCTTAATATTTCCGACTAGTGTATTTTCTTATCTTTCTCTATGCTGCATTTCTTAAATTTTTCATTTCTAGACTGTGTATTGCCTCTTTCTCAAAACTCCTCTGTTTCTATTGTATCCAATCACTCTGAATGTTCTAATACATCTAACTTTTCTGATGAACTACATCTTGAACCAAAACCGAAGAGGTTGAAATTAATGACAACAGAAGTTGTTGCAGCATTGGATAGAGGTAACATTAGTAGTAGACGAGCAGCACCTCTTATCTATACAATTGCATCGGCTTTAGGATATAAAGATTTAAATAATATCACTGCTAGTCACCGTTAAATTCATCGAAATCGAGGGATAGTTAGACGAGAGATTGCGCAAGATTTAAAAGCTGAGTTACGAATCGCTGATTCCACTGTTATCCATTGGGATGGAAAGATGCTGCCTGACATCACTGGTCCGAACAAAGTTGAAAGACTTCCCATAATTTTATCAGGTGTAAATACTCAACAATTGTTAGGAGTACCAAAACTTGAACGAGGGACAGGCTTAAATCAAGCCACCGCTATTAAAGATACCATTAATGAATGGAACGTTTCCGACCGGATCAAAGCTATGTGTTTTGATACATGTGCTACAAATACAAGTGAATTCACTAGTCCTTAAGTTTACAGTATTTAAATAAAAATCCAACTTTTTAATAAAAACAATCATATAGCAAATTTAAAGATAGTAAATTGTAGCTTTAAGTATCTGATTCTTTGAATCTGAATTTAAAAATTCTCTAGTGCAAGCGGTTTTTTGGACTAAAACAATTATAACAAAAAAATTCTAAATCTTTGCTTAAATTTGAAACGACTCATGGACTCGAATTAGTTTTATTCAATAATTATTGATAATTATTGAAAATTATTGATCATGTCACTATAAAGTAAATTTATGTATAGTTAATTTTACCTTCAAGAATTATGTTTTGTTAACTTCATTATATGACATTTTAAAAGTTAAAGTAATTTTCTGA